ATGGGTCAGCCGCTATATATAAAATCCTAGCCAGCCATCTTTGCTCTTGGTTTCTACCTAAGAAAAGCCTACGCTGCAGATCTCTGTCAATATGGGAGAAAGGAGTACTCTCCTTCTGTAAAATGCACTCGGTGATGCTTCCAGAGCTACGATTAGCTACGCTGGACATGTGAGATCTCATTAAATAACTTTAAAGAAGATCATTGTTCAGAACCATTTTTGTTTTGCCGCAGTTGAATCAGTTACTAATGTGCTTTGTCAGGATGGGAAGTCAGGTGTTACAGCCTCCTACTCAACGTATAAAAGTCATCCTGTTACTAAATGAAAATACATATAGATGTAAAAATCATGTAAAACACTCCAAACTGCACTTAACTAGAAAAGGAATTAATTGTGCCTGAATTTTACCCTTTGGTGATGCCATTAAATAGAACATTTTTGGCAAAGCTGTTACCTCTGTTAGCAACTGGGCCTCTGATCTGAGGAATATTGTTAAACACGCTGTATTTCTGTCACTTATAGAAGGCAGAGTTAGTGCTTTCAAAAATTTTAATTTTGTGCTGGAGAACTTCCACACTGAAAGATTACTTTTTTTTTTTTTTTTTAAGGAGATGAGTTTTCTTCAAGGCATCTGAATATATCTTTATTTTTCATGTAAATACACTAAATTGCTTTGTGACAATAAACCAACAGGGCTTATGTCAGTTTGAACTAATCTGAACGTTTGAGAAAGTCACCAACAGCCAAACAAATTGTCTCTGGAATAATTCTCAGCTCAGTTTTGAGAAGAATGTCATTGACTTTTTTGTTTTGTTTTGTTTTTTCTTTTACTGTCCAAACATATGAAAGCTACTCGACTAAATTCAAGAAGAAGAAAAGACTCCCTTACTTACTGAGAAATGACTGTCTTATTTTACTCAATGCTAGCCTGACTAAACAGCTGAGAATAACTCCACTTATGAAAAGGAAGAAACAATTCAGTCTATAACCATAATCTAAGCAAACCCTGAAAACTAAGGTCCGCTAATGAATGCGCTAAATTGATAAAAAATGATCTAGAATAACTTTAATGGATACTGCGATTTCTAACAGAGTTGCGTCTGCATGAGATGAAAATACTCCTATGTGGACTTCACTGACAATGAAATACATCAGATACTTTACCAAATTATGATAGACCCGCATAAGAAGAGGCTGTCACAGTCACAAGATTTGTCTTCGATGACACACAAACGAAACAAATTAACATAGAACAAACAAAAAGAAAAAAAGCTCTTTATACTTAATTCAATATGGCTTTTTGCAACATGGCAAAATATTACAGCTTAAAGCAGACATCTCCTCACAGAGGAGGAAAGAATTTTGCAGTCAAATCAAAAGCAGAACAGGAAACGAGTAACATGCAGACCCTTCTGTTCTTTTTGGCCAAGACACCGCTGCAGCCTAACAAAATCTGGAGAGATGTGATGTTGTATGTCTTCTCTAAGAAGTGGTTCAGCTGGATAAGACGAATGAAGATTTACTGTGAGTCTGTGTCCATTCATAAATATTTACTGGTAAAGAAAACAGACTGCAAAACACTTGATTTAAAAACTTAACTCAGGAATTTAAAAATAAATCATGTGCCCAAGTCCTGGAAAGAAATATAAGGAATGAAACCAAATATAACTTAATCGTGATCTATTTCTGATTTTCTTCTTTATTTCCGTCATCTTTGTGAAGAACAGGGAGAGGATGAGCCTCTGTGTTGAAGACCCAGTGTTCAAATGGAAGAAGATCATCCTCAGAAAACAGCAAGTATAAGTACCTGGCAAGAAAGAGCAGGTAACATGACTACATTGGCGAGGTGAAACTAAAATAGTTTTCAGGTAAAAACAGATATCCCTATTTCTGTAGATGAATGTATCAGTGGAAACACGCCTGAAATGAACAAACACAATACATAAGTCCTAGCATAATAATGGTCAGCCCAAAGCACTGGGGTGCACAGCTCGGACTGGACCTAAGGGCAATAGCAACTGCAGCAGCAAAGAAGTAAAGCTTAGGTTTTCAGCATTAAATATCACTTCACTTCTGTTTCATCCTTACTAAATTCATTATCTGTTGTTTTGACAGTATTCAACCATGGCAAGTTTTTTTTTTCCCTTGAATGGCCACATATACCAAGTTGGGGGAATTATAGTCCAATTCTGTTTTACTTACTTACTTACTTCTAGCATTAGCCTATTCTTGGATAGCCAGTTACTAAGGAGGATTGGGTCTATTAAAAACCATAATAAACAAATACAACATTTTCTTATTGTCACAATATAAGGGTACTAGTTACTGTAGCACTAATATAGAAGTCTGCTTAGGAATGAAAGTCAGCTTAGCAAATTAAAGTTTATCTTTTCTCAGGCACTAACCTTCTGCAGCCTTAGTAAGTGGTTTCAGCCTATACAGCTGCAAGTCAGAAACCTTGCTGGCTTCATGATATTTAAAAGCAAAATCTAAAAAAGCCTTGAGAGCTTTGCTTGGTCTAATTCTGATATGCAATCTAAAAGGTAAATTGGAGGCAGGTTATCATATACCCTGCTCAGTCTTAAAAAAAGCCACGTAGGTACATGTATGTATTCATATATCCCATTTACTTTAGTAATAGACTTTCTGTTGAAATGGCATAATCACTTCTTTCTGTGCTTTCCAGCTTACTCTTGCACAGTAAAAAAGGGAAGAGACCGAGACAAATAGTCCTCTATTTCATTAAAAAATCAGGAGACAGTGATAGAGAATGAAGGCTTTTCTTTTCTTCCCTCTTATCAGGCTGTGTGAGCTTACCATGCAAGTTGACTCCTTTTTTCCTTAGTCTGTAGTTTTAAAACAAAAAATATGCAATGCAAGCCTGGTAACAGTCCTCGGTCTACTAAATTTGTTTCATTAGTGCTGGTGTATGTAATTAGATCCTATCAAAGCGAGGATATTTAATTCTCAACAATGACTATCAAATACCTTTATCTAAATAATTTCCCAAAGTCATAGAATTTAGTTTATTAATACAGAAAAGAGAAAAAAAGGCATTTTGGCTTCCTGTCCCCAAAGAAGAGCTTTACTATTCAAGTTAGATTTTGTTACCTGAATGCCAAGGATACTAACGATAAGCACTTGTCTGTAAAGATGATACACAGAACTACTTTACATTAATGAAAGCCAACTTTCTTAACTTACTTGAGTGTCTCTGAAAGGAAAAAACTTTGCTGCACATCATCATGGCTTTGATGACTGTTATAAACGTCTCTGATGCCAGAATAGCCTCCATCAACTCTGCAATATTTTTCCAGTGCCTGAAGGAGATGAAAGGGGAAAAAAATTCAGCAAGATTAACAAAAAGAATCATCTCTCAGTTTTTCTTTGTTTGACAATAACAGTGTAGCTCCAAAAAATTGTTCACAAACTTTTTGAGAACGACTTGAAAACTATATATATATATATATGTATATATATGTATGTGTGTGTATATATATATATATGTATGTTAAAGACACAGGCATATGTGTTTAATTTCACATTTAGGAAGAGAAGTAAAATGATAAATTAATAAATGAAATGAACACAAACCAGTTTTTAGAGAGGAAGACATATGGATGTGATATTTTAACTTGTTTAGTTTTCCTCTTCTTAGTAGGGTACTGTCTCTATCACAGACCTATCTACGCACCTCAGAGATCCTGTTACATGTACCTTTCTTGGTCATATTTTAGTGCTTAAAAATTACCTTGATAGGGTTGAATGCCATGATAAACTCTAAAGATTTTTAATACCATGCATCTTTGCCTTTAAAAGAGGCAACGATATTAGAAAAGTGGCAGGCATTTAGCTTTTTAATTAAGAACACTCCCACCTTTGCCAATAGTAGTGTGCTGGTCTATTCAGGCCTTAAACACCTTTCCCTCAAAAAGCAAGTGCCCAATTCATGAAAATGCAGCCCTTATGAAAGTCAGCTCTCAATTTTCTGTACAGGTTGTTTTGTTTCCTTTGCAATTTTGCCTTTCAGTGAGAAACCTCTGGGCTGTGACTGAGTTTCTCCTTCTGCAGAAGGTCCTATTTTTTGATACTTTTCTGAAAAAGCTTTGTCTGTATACACAGAAGTAGACAGAAAGATAGTATCTGGCCAGACTTAATGCAATAGGTTTAGACATGAGAATAAGAAAGTTTTTCTTTAACTAATTTCCAGACTATGTATTCAATTAAAAATTTGCAATATAAATGATTGATTCCTATTTTACAATAACAAAGAGCAAACACACTGCCAAGGACTCAGGTACACAGACCTTCTCAGAAATATAATTTCTTTTCTGCCCACAGAAAAAACATATTATATATGCCCAGCTAATTTTGAAAGAGAAAAGAGATTGATGAAGGGTGTACACAGATGGGCAAAAATAAGTAGAACATGTATCTCGTGACAGAACAGTATAAGATATATGCAGTTATACTATTTAATATACTTTGCTGTTTTTCTAGATTTATATTAGATAGGTGCTTGCATTAAAAGAGTGGTATCTATAGTTTCTAAAAGTGGTCTCCATAGTTTTCACTGGAGAGTAAGCTGTCTATTATATATTTAAAAGGAACTTTTCTCCAGCAGCTATTCTTTTTAAAATATAACAGGCCTATTTGTACTTCCTTGTGTATCTTTAGCTCATTTTCCTGGACACTTTTAATAAGTGACAAATATACTGAAGGTTAAACAAGTAATTTCCCCTGGCTGGTACTCCTTTCTTCTCATCTACCTCAACCTGTGATGAATTCAAAATGCCGAATCTGTGTCTAGATTTTCAATGTCAAACACAACATTATGTTTTCCAAGGCCCAGGAGAAGGAGAACTTGAACTTGAAGGATAAGGCTACGTTTTCAAGAAAATACTTGCATTCTAACCAGAGTGAGGTAAAACAAAAGCAAATTGCTTTTGAGTTGACGTGCTCTACCATGTAGCCAGAGCCTTCTTCATGAGGATCGCTACAGTCCATTCTAGTGAGATATACTAGAAGCACCTGAAAAGACTGCTATGTTTTAAACCAAGAAGTTCATTTGCACCACATAAGCTACTTGGTGGCATCTACCTGGTGCAAATATGAAGCACCTTAACCCCTCAGAGCTCTCTTGCACTTACTAAAGGAACATTCACGTGTGGTATTAGCGCAATATAAAGGCCGTTGGGTATCACCCTCCTTTAACTGGCAACAATGTCTTTTTGTCTCCACACCTTCACTCTCACAGTAATTTTCACACCTGGAGTGGGGAGTAGGGGGTGGGAAGAAACAATAAACCACCTTTCAAATTGGTTGTCTTCAGAAAATGAGGGTGGCTAGGATCAGCTATGCTAGCGATGGAACACATCAAATGGACTGCAAACTGGCTGATCACAAGGGAGAAAAAACAACAGTGCAAAGACTTCAAAATATGTGCCACATTTACAATGCAGAAAGGGAGACTTTCATGAGCTGAGCTGATAAAATCTTTCCGACTCAGTAACAGTGGATATTGATGTCAGTCATAACTGCATTTTCTTCATCTACTGAAATACAGCATAATCTTGGAATTGAGCTAAAGCAGCGAAGCAAGTTTCCAAAGAAAAAATGTAGAGGAAAAAGCATATTTTAAGTGAATAAAAGTTAGAATAAGAATTAATAGGCTTGTGCTAGATGTTAGAGAGTTTAGGACTCATGACCACTTAATAAAGCAACCTACTTCCCTGCCGCAAGGGCACTAGAAAACAAACCTTCCTGTGACTTCCTGTTGCCAGTGTCAGGAAGCACGTAAAAACAGCTTTTTCAGACAAGGGCAATTGGTCTGATTGTTTTCCCTTTGTTCTTGTTTCAGTCTCTGCTTCCTTTTCATGAAACTGCTGCTGGTAGCTAAAACCCCTGATTCAGAGGTCAGGGATTTCCTCAGTAATATTGGGATGGGGTAATGTTTTCTCTGGTACAGGAATAAGAAGGAGGAGAGAGCAGAAGTGGTCTTGATAAGCTATCATGACACATGCTGGAACAAATAACATAGCATCATGTAGAACTATGCAGGCTACCGAAGACATCAGGGATGTCTTCTAAGAGAAGAAAAGAAAAAAAAAGAAAAAATATTTGAAGCCTACAACTGACTCTATAACATCTGTGAATTTGCAGGGTTTGTTTTTGTGAAACACTCAGCTGCAGATTAGGACAGCGGAAGATGGGAATGCACAGAATGGGGCCAGCTGCATCTCCCACACATGGGCTCTGATCCATTACATCAGAGCCCAACTAGAGTAACTACAAGGATGTTTAACAAGGAACGCATGGAGAGTGCTAAGAAGGTAAGTGAGTGTACACACGCAAATTAAATACAAACAAACTGAACCAACAGAGTGAAGAATAATAACAAGAAAAACATTTCAATTGTTTAGAACAATGTTATCAGTACTGGCAGCAAGAATGGGGCAGGAAAACATCTCCTAGAGAAGAAATGTACTATAACTTGCACTACTGAAGCCTGGTAGGATGGACTTGCACAGACAGAGATGTTAAACATTCCAATTGTAATCTGCCTGGGAAGATTCCAATAGTAAAGCATGTGCCTATGGATGGTGGTAGCAAATAAGAAACAAAGGAACTGGAGTTTGTTTTCTTTTAATTGTTTTAGAATCATTAGCTCAGAACCATGTGGTTTCAGGGCAGATGCAGCCAAAACCCACGGAAGGCAAGTAAGATTTTTTAAATAACTACAGTCTACCTAGCTGAATATCAGTATTGCCTGCAAATATGGAATACTGAATACTGCTGACAATATTCAAAGAACGATGAGTTAAAGAGCAGAAGTATAGTTAATGCTTTTTACAACAGAAAAACAGATTTTGCCATAAATGTCTTTCTTCAAGAGTATCTGATTACCAAACCCACAGTTCTTTATGCCCAACATTCAACTCGGTTTCTTGTACTGTGATTACTGAATAAAATTATATATTTTTGTTATTGCTGTTGTTGAGGGAACCAGGTAACTGGCAGATGTCACGCAGCCAGAACTATGGAATCATAAGCCAGTAACAGCTCTCTCATAAGGTTCCGCAGGGATCAGTAATTGCGTGACAATCTTCTGCAACTAGTGGGCGAGAGCCATTCAAAAAAAACAAGATGTGTTGGTCCAATCAAAAAACAGGATTTTTTTTTAAATCCTAGAAAGCAACAACTCTGTAAAATAGTGAAAGGTCACTGTAAACCTACAGAGAAGATGACCACAAAATAAATCCAGTTATGAAATACTGCACAGAGTTCTGTTTTCAGTTTTTTCCTGTTTTTGCTGAGGAGGAAGAGCCCCTCAGAATGTTCTTCAGCTTTCTGTATCTTACATGAAGAGCTCAGTCTGCTTATAAATTCCAAAGGAAGAATGAAAGGTAGATAATTTAATATGTACAATAACAATGTGAGGAAAAAATGAGGCTGTGTGAACTCTAGAAGTGTAATAAGAACCCATGCCGAGCAGATGAAACAAGGTAAATCCAAAGCCTCTCAGCTTTAACAATAAGAGCAATTAACCACTGAATTAAGGGAACTAATGGATTTTGCACACCAACGTTTTGCAGTCTGGAGTACTTGCCCTCTTGGAAGACTCATGTTAGACAAATAGAAATTGTTAGAGTTGAAACTCACAGGCTGGCGGGATACAGAAATTTAATGCTAGATGAGATTGTTAGCATTAATGGAGTTCAATCCAGACGCACTGTGCTTTTAAAAAGTAACTCATTCACAAAATGTTAGGTCCTACCTAGTCGCTCAATCTTGGCCTTAATCACTGTAATTAAAATCACTTTATTGCAATTACTGTTGAAAACAGGCTTCATAAAACTTATTTCTGTGTCCAAGGCTGAAATTTGATGCATATTTGCACTTTCCATTCACGCGTAGCAATACTTAACATCCTGAGCACTACATCCAAATGTGACCCTGATCTGAAAAGTATTTAAGAAGGAGAAATCACAAGGTGTTTTTCTAAATACAATACCAGCAGGACTAATTTAGTCAAAATGATCTTATTTCATCTATTTAGTAAATGAATCTCTGGATATCTAGAGATGATACTACTGATTTAAAACAAATATTTACGGACCAATCCCTAAACAATATCCAGGTATATTGTTTGATAGCTCGCTTACCACGATATTAGGATTTAATAAGAAAATAATCCTACAAAACTTTACCTCTACAGCTTCCCATCCCCACTGCCTATACTTTGGGTCATGAGTGAGCCGCCACATGTACATGTAGGTCTCTATGACTTCTGGTCGGAGGATGTAGTATTTTTCGTTTTGCCTTGTAGCAATGGCCTCAACACCACCATCAAATCTGAAGGCTTCTGGTCCCAGTTTCATGCCTAGCCAACATAAAAAATAAAGGCAAAAATACAGGCATTAAAAAAAGTTTAAAATTGTGTAACCTTTCAAATCAAGCATCTTTTCATGGAATATCAGGCATGTTATCCAAAATGTATGTAATTTCTGAAAGATACTGCTACACATCCTGCTTTAACGTTTTGGAAATAATCCACAGCAGAAAGGAGCTATTTCTCAATACCGTAGATCACCGCAGTTCCAGTTTGAACAGTGATGCTAACATTCTAACATCTGCATTCTCTAACACTTCATACAAGCAAAAAGTTAAAATATTGCATGTTAAAGATGAAGAAATTTACTTTTCCATATCAAAAACTGAAAATACACTCTGGGACCTGAAATGCTGCCAGGGTCGTTTTCTCAAGATGATGAAAGAATCCAAAGAAATTTCCTGCACAGAGTTCCACTTTCTTTGTGCAATTCTATTATTTGCAGCATTGCACAAACAGAACTGAGAATAAAATAAGTTTTTCTGGGTAAAACCTGGTCAATAGCTACAGTGATGCATAAATGAACAGGCTCCCTCTGTTGTTTGTAGTCGGCTATATAGAAGTCAATGAAATGAAATAAAAAGGTGTCATGTTAATTACTACAGTGAGCAGACATGATTCTAGTGCACAGATTTATTAACAGATTTGTCATTCTTAAAGTTACTTTTGGAGCAAACAGCATTTAAAAAAAAAAGTATGAAGAGTTTTCAGCATAATAAAACTTTAATTGACCGTTATGCAAATTATACTGATAGCTGCCTCTACAAAGCAGAATTATGAAAGTAATCTCCGTCATACAGTACTTACTTGTACGATCATAGGATTCATGACAAGTCCTAGCAATTTCAGCACCGAGCTCAATGTGATGGCCTGTCTTGTCATCAGGTGCTCCATCTGCTCCTAGAGCAAACATGCCTCCAGCAAAACAAGTCAGATGCCCCATCTTGTGTTCAAGCAGGCCGCCCTTCCACTCAGCGATGTAGGTCAGCCCCCCGCTTGATTTCCGAATGAGGTGGGTCTCGATGGCCTGCAGAAACACATGGTTTCACACCAAAGGTACCATTTGGTAAAACATGAAGGACAAAGACGAAAATCAGAGCAGCCTGAAAACTGTCTTACGGGTTGGCTGGCTTGTTTTTCTCAGTATTGGCTTTGCTTATAAAGCAAAATGGGTAGTGTGAGCTAACATAACCTCAGAGAAAGTACAGCCAAACCAACACAGGTTAACATACGTCAGTAATGATGGTTAGTTCTGCTGCAACTCTCTGCCGTTCACACTGTACACTTTGTAAAAATATTGAAAAGACCTAAAAAAAGAAATTCCATTTTAAAATTCTTTTACTACTTTCCCTTTCTACTTTGAGCAATTTCAGGTTAGGGAGTTGCACTTTTAATGGTGATGCTGCTTTCAGCTCCCATATTTTCCATTTATTTTAATTCTGACTTAAAAGATTTGGTTATCGAAATAATTTAATGACAATTATACGTGAGCATACTTCATATTCAAAAGATCTGACTCAGTGTACTGAACAACGCTAGGCCCCTGAGTCTATATGGCATTCCCCAAAAAGTCCAATGAGTTTCCTCCCAGAAGAATTCCTCCAAAATTATCTATCAAAAATAGAGCCTCTTTGAGATTTCTAGAAAAAACTGACCAGAGGAAATTATATAGATCTCCTAGTCAGAAAGCCAGAAGGGGGTGCAGTTAGCGAGGTATGGTCACTGATTACAGAATCCAGCCGTGCCTCGTGAGAGGAACAGCGTGAAAACAATGAAGATGTTGCAGAGGAGCTCATTAACTGGAAACCCACACAGAAAGTAAGCTGTTACTCTTAGGGCGAGGATGAACAAGGCTAGTACTATACATTCAGTTATCCATTGGTGTTCTGGTTTATTCTATTGGAATCATGAGATCCAGAACCATCAGTGAATGTGCAATACATACAAGAAAAAGAAATATCAGTATAGAGAAATTTTAACAGATAAGCCAAAATTAAAAAATAAAAAGTGTTAGAAAGTATTGACTGTAGTTGTTTGTTCCCATTTAAACGTCTGTAAAGGTTGTTTTAGAAGCATGAAAAAAATCTCTGTAAAGTAGAAGCACCAGCAGAAGAATTCTACAGGTTTTACTCATTAGGTTTTTTTTTTTGCACCAAGCACATCACCTTGAAAAATACTAACACTTCCATTAATATTAGTGCAAAGCGTTTAGTAATGGCAATTTTGTACCTGCCTCCAGAACCTATTATTGGCTCAGAGAGTGCCTCAATCCCTTTGCTTGATCACTGGGTACCAGCCAAAAAACATAAATAAACTGTAAAGCAGCAATAAATAATGAAAATTCCTGTACTTTAAACAAATCCCACCTAATTTATCCTATAAAAAGTAGAAATTAAACATGAAGGGGGAAAGGGTGGGAAAAAACAGTTTCTTAACACATCCAAACCACAGAGCCCACTGCGGGAGATGAAAGAATTAGAGAGGCTGAGTTGATGTCAAGCAAATCGAGTGGCTGCGTGTTCCAAGCGCATCATAGACAGCTTTTCTGTCATGTTGGGAAACTAACAGTGGAATATCTGGGCAATGTTTTTTAAAATAATGTTATTTATAACATGTTTTTTTAGTTAGCCCATTTGGGTGTAAAATATTTGAATTGCTAATTAAGGAAGTGATAGATCAGGGTTCAAAGACCCTGCTGTGAAATGTCCTGCTGCATAAGCATATGAAATTAATCCGAAGATAGAAATAATTGGAAAACTTTCAGAATATTCCAGATTGCTCTTTGTATTTCTATAAAACTGATTTTAGATCATAATAGGGTGCCTTATTGTTCAAAATACACAATAATTTTGTGGGAAAAAGCTTTCAGACTACTTAGGCGTTGTCAAAAATAAACTACCTAAAGCCATGTTCAGAAACCAAAAACTTCATGCAATTTCCTGACATGTGATTTTTGTTATTCCCATCTAACCAAATCAAAAATACTGGTAATAGTTGATAACTGCACATGTCACTTTGCTGTTGTGTTAGAATTTATTTAAAAAGAAACAAAAATAGATTAATGACTAAATTAAAGTATATAGCAACGTTTTCTTTCAGTAAAGAATTAATTAAAGACAGAATGAAGTATTACTGCACCTGACAGAAATAACAGTGAACATGCACCTTTAGAATTATAGCAGGTGGACAAGATTTGATTGCTGAAGCTGACTTCTAGTACGAAAATGGGTTTGGAGATACCAATAAACCTTTCACAGTTTTTTTCTCTTCTAGCTCAAGATTTAATTTCAAGCTGAAAATAGATTACTTCTGCTTGGGAAATTTTAAATTTAATCTAATAAACTGATGGTAAGGAACCAAAAAAAAAAAAAAAAGAATGTTAATTGATATTAATAGTTTCACAAAGTAAAAATATATGTTTCTAAATTAAATATTCATCTTTAGTAAGGAAAAATGTCTTGGTTTTTATAAATCGACCTTATTAAGAACTAGTACATAGGTCTATTTAAAGTCATTTTTATTACGTAAAGTTTTGATGTATCACGGACTCAGACTGCCCTGTCATACTTTGTACAATCACAGGGCTGACTGCCAGATGAGTGGATACATCTGTACCTATGTACAAACATAAACTTACATACCAATCTACTGGAAATTCACATAAATTGTTATTCAAATTTTTAATATTTTTGCTGGTTATAATGTAATGGTATGTGCTTCTGTGAGCAGCACATCAAAACATTTTTCAGTGAGAATTTCGCAAAGGTTGTGAGTGCCACCAGATTGGCCTGTACTTTCTGACAAACATTTATTTTTAAAATAAGCTTAAGGGAATATATGGGCAACTGTTTTTAGAATATATAGATTACAGATAGAACTGAGAAAATAGTAGGAGGAGGAAGAAATAATACCAGTTTAAATGAAGATATATAGGAGACACTGAACTTGAGCAGGGGGATAAATGAGAGAGCTGCGATCCCATACCGAAATGTTAATCGCTATCTGCAGTGCTGTGGACACAGTTCTGGTAGGGATGCTGCCGGAACGTATACTAAAGATATGAAAATAAACATCTTATAAAAGGAGACTGGAGTGTGCAGCGATAAAGATCCACTCAAATGAAAAGTTCCACTTGGTAGAATTAATTTTGAATGTCATACTTTGAAGCAATTTAATCTTATTTTGATATAATTATCTACAGACTTAAAAAAGGGAAATGTTTATTTCAGCTGCAGCTCTATTACAACTCATTTCCTACCTAGGAATAACTCCTTTCAAGCTTCACCACTTGCAGATCAGGTGGTGTCATACTTGTCACTATAGAGATTATTACTTCATTTTACCATAAGGAAATATTCTCAATATAAGCAAATATATGATATCTGCAAGGAACCAAAAAAACTAGACAAAAGTGGTCTTTGATTAGCTGAAAATACATTATTGACGGATAATTGTCTGGAACTGGTACAGTTTTCCTTTTAAATAAATGGAAGGTTTTTTTACTGTTTTTTAGAGTGTATTTCTGCATAGCAATTAGTAATTTCTTTCTATGAAGGTCATGCAAAGAGACTGTGCAACAGGAAAGGCTGCAAAGAAAAAGCAGCTGCAATGTGTGCTCCCAAAGGGAGTAATAGCAGATGCTACCTGTGAATGACTGAAGAAAAAAAAGAAAGGATAAGAAAAAGACAGCTGACTTTAGATTGCAGTGGAACAAAAAAAGGAGAGGAAGCAAAGGAGACTAAAGGGAAATAAACACTATTTGCCAGATCTATTTAAAGAAATAAATTTACTGTACATAAAGCTAACAGGGCATACTGTTTAGAGTGGTACCTGAAAGCTCTTATAGCTAGACTACCTTTTACAGCTGAAACAGTTCCTTGCAAATTTTTTGTATGTTCATTTGCCATAGTACAGGGCTCTGTTTACAGTTCTCACTGCCCAAAATGCAATAAAGCCTTTGATTAGATTACCTTTTTTCATCTTGTGGGAAATGATCTTTCTACAGAAAAACTGTAATAATGCCTGAACTCTCATTAGAAACAGTAAGAGCTCCTTTTGCATTTTGAATTCTGATTCAAGTGCTCCTTGTGTTACTTCTGGCATCTTCTCAGTTCACATGTTAAAAAATATGCCCTTGCCAATCTGTGATGCAGGAAGAATTGCACTGAATTAAAAAATTCAAAATTTCAAGGTTACAGGATTCCAAATTGCACGTGCGCGCAACATCCATTACCTGAAAGCAAAAGAGCAAAACTGTCCAATTTTTCCCAGATCGATTTTCTCCCCCTTCTACTCTTTTTTCAAGGTAACATATTCTGCGTTCTCTGTTTAGCATCCTGTTTCTGAGTCTTTACACTACATTGCCAGCCTTTATACTTGCAAAATTAAGCAGAACTGGTTCTTCTTACTAAATACCAATTTCCTCAGTCTATCTCCTCATTCCTTTGGTACCCGCCCTGGGGTCACCAGCAGAATCTGCGTTTCAGGGAGTTGGGACCCTCTTATGCTACTGTGATAGTTCCTCTCAACCTCCAGGGATTGTGAGGGGTAAAAAGCAGCTTAAAACACAGTCTTCACCACTTCTCTTCCTCAATCCCTGTCTTGACTGCAATGCAAAAGTCCTTCCTTAACCCTTTTAGTTGTTTAGGGCATTGAACTGGATTACTTAGAGAGAAGACAGAGGGAACAGCCACTGAAGTCATATAAATGTTCAAATGAGGAGTAAAAAAAATGATCAACACAGCTTCTTTTTAATACAGGGTATTCTCTTGGTGGATTATGCTGGCAGGTAATAACAAAGACCCTTTACATAGTGCAGATGGAGGCTTCACAATAAAAATGGTCTGCACCTCTGAAAGTTGTTACATTCAAAACAAACATGCACCACAAAAAAGTTAACTCTGCTAAAGGGGCAGGGATAGCAATAAATTACAAACCTCAACCCGCAGTGTTCAACTGCAGTTCTACTACCTCTTATGCATTTTAACTCTTCTTATACAACAACTGTGTAATTATGATAAATTTCAG